TTGGGGGTTTTGTAAAACTTGGGACTTTTTTTCCTTATACCTGAAGCTTGTTCTTGGCAACCCTAGGGGAAAGAAGGGGGCCTGGGAACGTGACTGGGAAGCACGTTCTCGGCCACCCTGTGGGGAGGAGGAACTTGCCTTGTTCCTGGAGTCGACTCTGGGGGGAGAAGGGAGGAGGAGGGAAATGGGCTGGAGATGGAGGGGGTGGGGGGGAACAGGTGAGTGTGGTGGCGGGGGGAACAGGTGAGGGCTGGGGAACAGGAGTGGGCAGGGGAAAGAGGGCTGGGTTACAACAGTATGTGAGGAGGACATAAATTCTGGGGGCTGAGGGGCAGAATTCTATGATTTGAATGTTGGTGCCCCCTCCAAAATTCATGTTAAGATAAGCGCCAATACACTGATAGCATCATGAGGTAGAACCTTTGGTTCACATCCCTGGAGAATGGTATTAAGGCCCTTAGGAAAGAGGCTTCTCACCAGCAGGAGCAAGAGGCCATCTTGAAAGCAAAACAGGAGTTTGGAACTGAGAGTTTTTATTTTTTGTTTTTCTGAGACAAAGTCTCACTGTCTTGCTCAGGCTAGAGTGCAATGGCATCATCCTAGGTCACAGCAACCTCGAACTCCTGGGTTCAAGTGATCCTCCTGCCTCAGCCTCCCTAGTAGCTCACCCCACTGTTGGGTGATGTTCTTTCTAACAGGGAGTGAAGGACAGCTTAGCAGCGGGTGGAAGCTCGCTCCTAGAATTGTATGAAAGCAAGAAACGACTACACACTCTTAGATGGCATGCAGCAAAATGTCTTTATTTTCCACTCCCTTCTATTGGGAGCTAGTCACATACACCACATTGATCAATAATCCTAACATCCTCTATTCTTATCCTAAACTATAGAAAAGAAAAAATGTCTGGGAAAGTGAGATAATCATTATAAGATTAGCCTAAAGAGGCTCGGCGCCTGTGGCTCAAGCGGCTAAGGCACCAGCCACATACACCTAAGGTGGCAGGTTTGAATCCAGGCTGGACCTGCCAAACAACAATGATGGCTGCAATTGAAAAACAACCAGGCGTTGTGGTGGGCGCCTGTGGTCCCAG